TCCACCATAAGGACTTTACAGGATGAAGAGGCCGACGGGCCTGGGTCCAGTCTCAGTTTTTCTCAAGCACTAGCTGCATCACCACTGGGCAAGTTGCCTGAAAACGAGTAACAACACTGCCTACCTCGTGGAGGAGACAAAAGAATCAAACGAGATACTGCCGAGTGGAGCATTCAGCACAGCACCTCGCACCTGAGTTAGCATTCAATAACCCTGATTAGCTATAATCGTCCTCACCAGCAAGGGAGAAAAAAATGCGGGAACTGTTCCTATACATAAGACCCCAACGAGCAGTGTTCCTGTCCCCCACGTTGACTCATGGTGGTCAGAGAGTTAGGACCTCAATTAATCCACTTAAAGGCACACTGTGGTTTAAAAGCAGGTTCTTGTGGCTTAGCCGGGGATCTGACATTATTGCTGTTATCATTCCGAACAGACCACCCTCCCTCACTTAGCACGGTGGAAAAGTTACCTCTGTGGCAGCCCACACCGACTCCACTACTCCCAGGATGGCGCCACTCCTGAAAACTTTACTGAAATGCCCCTATTATGACTACCGTAGAGCTGATGAGCAAGACCCATAGGAAAATCACTGTCATCACTTCACAGTTACCCACTGTATAGCACCGGACCCAGGTGGTGCTTCAGTTTCATCCAGATGATAATAAAAGCCAGCTTTCATAGTCAAGGATCCACTCTTTCATAAACAAGCCAACCATTCATCTCTACCCTAGACACAGGGCCTAGTCTTGATTTCACAGGGATTATCTGTCAGATGATAATCCTACATGAGCTCTAGGATTCCTTCGGCTCTTAAAGTCCTGATTGCATGTTGTAATGATGTCTCTGCCAGCCGAATCCCACCCGAGAGCACAGTATCCGTCCACCATCCTTCATCGTGGTAAGACCTGGATTTCAGCGAGGTCACAGAACATGTCAGTCGTGCAGAGTCCACTCCGAAATGGCTGCTGGACAGTGCCTTTGCAACATCTGTTAGCAGACCAATATATTATGACATGGCCCTTAGTCCAGCATGAGGCCTGCATCTGTTAGAACATCTGCATAGAGAAGAGGTGGTTCCCCTTGAACATCCTGACACTTGCACGTAATTCACTAGATATTAGAAGCAGCTGTTACTACCTGGCTATGAAGAGATCAGATATTACTTTGGGTTGTTTCTACAATTTCAATAAAAAATAATGTAAAAAAGCCCAACCGACCTGTCTGGAGATTCATTTCCAAGGACACTTGACTGAAGTTCATCAATGGCTTCCTTCTTTTTCTTATACATCTCCCAACTCCAAAAATGATTTAAGGTAACTTACAAAAACAAACAACGCTTTTTTTGTCTTCCTCAAAATCTTTCAGAGTGTCTCTATTTTTTTAAATTTTATTTTATTACGTTATGTTAGTCACCATACAATACATCATTAGTTTTTGATGTAGTGATCCAAGCTTGTTTTAAAATAGATGAAGAAATTAGGGTAAGAAAAATAGAAGAACACAAGGAGAGTTACGACAGAGAAATGCACGCTATTAAGTTGCTAAATATTTACCGAATTTCAGTTGCATATTTGGCTTTGAACTCCACAGTAAGCAAGGCAGAAAAGAAAATGAGTACTTATAAGGTTGACAGTTTCTGTAAATTTTGGTTGTTCAAGCTACAGATTTTCTAAGAGACATTTCTTCTGTGGGTGGTTGCAGAGGAGATGATGAGCAGTGAACTCAGTGGACAAGATCCTCAGCACACACCAATAGTTCCTACCATAAAACTCTTGCAAAACTGTTTCTTAGAGGTCCCTCCATGAAAAAATGCACAGCATAACGGTTAACAGCAAAGGGCAATTCAGTAAAAGGGATTCTACATAGGGGTCAAATCAGGGCAGCCCAAGAACATGGCTTTCTGATGATCTGGCTGGATCCAGTGATAACAAACTCTCCAGAAGAATGGAAGAGCTACAGAGCCTTCTGGCAAAGCTCCATAAATATATCATTTATCACAACCAGGCTTTTGAGTTACAAAAACATGGGCAGCCTCCAACATGCCAAGTCCAAACACTAATACATTTGAATGCTAACACTATTTGGCCCTGGTCTTGCATTCAAGTTAGTTCTCTTGTGGTTGGTTCAGCCTACTTGTCCCTTAAACTCTCCCCTTCTGCACCTCATCATGCCTCTCCTGCTTCTCTCTCTCTGGGCCTCCATCTCCCTGGCTGCTCTTCCTTCCTCCTCCTCCTCCTTGGAGGTGCTTCTACCATGTGCCTGACTGCCTGCTCCCCATGGACATCCCCATCCACACCCAAGTCTTCTAAACCTCTGCCTCCTGCCCCTGAAGCCTGGATCCTTTTCTAAAAGAGGCCTCTCTAATTGGCTCCTAGGAAGGCACTTCAAACCAAACGCATCCAAAACCAGCACCATCTTTCCCCTTCCCCTGGTTCCTACCACCTTCACCCTGATTCTTAAGGCCCGGTTGCCAAAGCAGTCCAGACTCTTTACTCTCTCTTGCCCTTCTATGTCATACTCCATCGGTCGCCTAGACAGTTGGTTCGGGCTCTGTTATCCAGTCTCCCCTAGCCATCTTCACAGCCACTGGGAGCAGCACTGGGTGGGCCCTACCCTCCCTCATCCTGAGCTCACGTGACAGCCTCCTAAACTGGTCTCCCTGACTCAGCTCTTACCTCTCCAGCCCATTCTAGAATTCTATTTATACAACGCAGTCTGATCACATCTCTCATGTTTCAAAACCTCCAGTGGTTTCCAAGCAGCCTATAGGACAAGGTCCAACCCCTCGGGTGGCACCAAGGAACTGGGCTGATTCTCCTTATCTTCACCATCACCTTCCCACCTCCCTCCAAACCTGTTTCCCCAGCAGACCAAGCTTGTTCACTACTTTTTCCCAAGTTGGTTCAGCCTCTTGCAAAGCCTTAACCTATCTTCACTGTCTGGTAAATGCCTGCTCATCCCTTAACACCCGAATAAGACCCTAAGCAGAGGCGGTGGCCCCCTTTGCCCAGCATGCAAAAGACTCTTTTCACCTGAATGATGCTCCATCACACTGTTCGCGTATCTGTCTCCCAGACTGGGAGCTTCCTGCAGCTCAAGTCCAGTCTTTAACGCCCCTTGGTTTCCCCAGACTCCTAGTCTCAGGCACATCAGAGTCTCCCCCACCCCCTGGAGAGTCTTGATAAATGGTAATTAACTGAGTAAAATGAGTGACCATCAGTGAAACTGTGCTGCCCTGTAAAGCTGATATTTTTAATCTTACTTAAACGCTATCCAGGGCATTTAAAATATCTAATTCTGGCCATTACATGGGACTCGCACACCATTAATGCTCCACAAAGTTAAAAAGCCAACAAACTCCTATGACGTCAACTTGCTTGGCCTGGCAGATGGAGCATGATGCTCAGGACTGTGGAGCCATGGCTCCAAGGTGACACACGACAAGACCCTCTGATGCCTTTACCTGGGTGCTGTCTGATGGCCAGAAACATTTCTTATTCCACCTCCCCTGGCCCTTCACACCACCTCTGTGCCATTGGGCAGCTTCCCAAGGGACCCTCCCCAGACTGGCATGGACTTCTGACCCCTGGAGAAACCCTCAGACTTCCAACACATGAAGCTTCTTTGTCCCAGGGTGGTCCCCACAAAACCCCCCGGGGCAGTGTGAGGAGAAAAATGAACTGTCAGATTTGGTTCAGGCAAGAAAAGGGGTCCCTTGACCCTGCCTCTTGATTCCATGTTCAAAACAAGGCCAGATTTGCCCTTTTCCTCCAGCCTCCCCCGAGACTGCCGCCCCAGCATCGGTCCTTTGTTTTGTATTTGGCCAGGCTCAGAAAAGACAATGTTGGTGAAAACAAATAAATACATTTTCCCCATGATCTGGAACCCAGAGAGGAACTGGGTCCATCACCCAGACAGGGCTACACTTGAACTACAGTGTAAAACAGTCATTTAGAAGACCTCAACATTGGGTGCCTGGGTGTGGCTCAGTCGTTAAGTACCTGCCTTTTGCTCAGGTCATGATCCCAGGATCAAGCCCCGCATCGGGCTCCCTGCTCGACAGGAAGCCTGCTTCTCCCTCTCCCACTCCCCCTGCTTGTGTTCCTCCTCTTGCTATCTCTCTCTCTCTCTGTCAAATAAATAAATAAAATCTTTAAAAAAAAAAGATCTCAATATTTTGGGGGCACCTGGGTGGCTCAAATGGTTAAGCGTCTGCCTTCGGCTCAGGTCAGGATCTCTAAGTCCTGGGATGGAGTCCCGCATCGGGCTCCTTGCTCAGCGGGGAGTCTGCTTCTCCCTCTCCCTCTGCCTGCAGCTCCCCCTGCTCGTGCTGTCAAATGAATAAATAAAATCTTAAAAAAAAGAAAAAAGAAAAGAAAAGAAAAGAACATTTTGGAAAGTAGGGTAAGAGATGGTGGCCGACCTTTGGCAGTGACTTCACCAGGGAACCCTCCCCTTAGCCTCCACCAAGGCCCACTACCCAGGTTCTTCTTCCACAGGCAGAGTACTCTTCACAGCTGCAGTTGTATTTTACTGGGGAGATCGTTTGATTGTTGTCTGTATCTCACACTCTCAAAGATCAAATATTATTTACTAAATAAATGAACATATTTGGACCCTGGGCACTGTGTGACCTTGATTTCTCTTTAACTGCTGCTCCCCCAGGGCACAGCTGGGGCCCCAATTAGTTACAAACCATCCATCCCCAATCTGCCAATACAATTCTGTTGTTCAGCTGTCAGCATGCCTTTGGCGTCCTCACTTTAATCTCCCAATTCAAATAAATCCAAAACTCTAGACTCTGACATCTGTGGCTGGGCTCCCTGTCTCTCCACAATTGCAATTTGGAAACTGAACTTTACTACTCGAGAGGGTAAAAAAAAAAAAGGGGGGGGCAGAAGCACTTTCAAAAGGATGCCTGTATGTCTAAAGTCCCAAGCATCACCAGCTCGAAGATGGATGTATTTTGTCCTAATTATTATTAAACTGCCATCTAGTATTCCCATCTATTGAAGAAGAAACAGAGGAGGGTGGGAGAAAGACTGATTCTAGAGCAGATTTCTGGATTTCTCCTGTTATGGGAATGGCAGATAGATTTTAGGAAGAATTATAACTTCTTTTCCTTTCAGGCCTGGCACATCAAGGGGCCCCATGCACATTGCCAGGGCAGCTTTTTCATATAACTTAGGAAACATCCACAAAGCTGTTTATGGGTCAGTCTTCCCCCTAGATTGTGAGCTATTCCTGGCTGAAGACCACATCTGGCTAATCATCCTTCATACCCAGGCCAAAGCCTGGCTTGCACTAAGAGCTCAGAAAGGTTGGTTGAAGGAATGTGGGAAGTGAGGGGAGGAGGTAAAGAGGAGTCATCTGAGGCCCTGCAGCAACTGTCAGTAAGCCTCCAGGACTCTACAGTTTATTAATTTCCTATCATGGGCCCATGAGGGGCCAAGTACTTGATATGCGTTATCTCAATCCTCACAACAACCCAGAGAGGCAGGCATTATTATGATTACTCTTGTTTGAAAGATGAGGAAAAAAAGCCAAGAAATTAAACATTTTGCCCAAGATCACTCCACTAGAAAGTACCAAAACCAGGATGTGAAGCCTCGGACAACCCCCACCCCTACCCCCCATGGATCCTTCAACCTAGACAAGCCAGAGAAGAGTCTGAAGATGGGCATCCTTGGTCCTTGAGCCCTTTAGAGCAACAAGCAGAATATCTTCAACTAATTATAATGCAAACAAAAATGTCAAGTTCTCTTAAAACATCTTCAAACTCTCAGGGTTGGCTCACTGCTTCAACTTTTAATTATAGAAATACGATAAAACAAAGGAGGGAAGGGAATAACCTCAACCAGAAGGTAGAACAACAGATTAGGCACAAGAAAAAGCCAGTTTTTGGTTCCTGTAATATCTTCCTGCTAAGGGGTTTTTAGCTTTAAGGCAGCAGTCATATATAGAGATAGTTTGTTTCCTTTAGGATTTGAGGGAAAAAGAATCGTGTAAGCAAAACTAACCAAAAGCCCTATTTAATTTGCATTTATACATAGTACACGTTTATACCATTAATACAACAAATACCGAAAAAGAATTAATTTCTACTTTATGGTCTCTTTGGCCGTGGATCAATTTGGGGAGGGACCCCCAACAGACAAAAGACCAAAGCAGTAAAAGACGAGATAAACAGGAGGCAAATATAATGGATGACACATGCAGGAGCAATACCAACGATAAGAAAAGGAAGCGGCAAAAATACAGTGAGGGAAAGGAGGCCAAAGGTCAAAGATGCTTAGCAGCTGGTTTCTGCTAAGGAGATCAACTACCTCAGCAATTTCCAGACCTCAGACATGTACATTAGATAAACTTGGGAAAATTTTTTTTTGGCAGGGAGGGGGTATTATTTGCTTGCTTTTATTAGATTCCCTAGCTGAAAATTTTCATTTTGTAGGCCTTTGGTTGGACTAGAAATTCTTATGGCAGCCATAAGATTTGAGAATCTCTGGGGAATAGTCCCGTCTTTTGAGAATGCCTATTATTGACGTCAACTAACCATCGTTCACAGACTTCTGTGAATGGAAGCAACAGTCCATTTCCATGGAGTTACTCTAAACTGTAGCAATAGTGGAGTGCCTGGCTGGCTCAGAAGAGCATGGGACTCTTGATCTCGGGGTCCTGGGTTCGAGCCCCATGTTGGGTGTAGAGATTGCTAAAAAAAAATAAATAAACAAACTTTGGGGGAAGAAAATAAGTAAACTGTAGCAACAGCAGCCCAAGCAAAATCCCAATGTTCTCTTTCCAACATCTCATGTGCCTACTGAACATTCCCCATACATTATCATACCTCTGTGCCTTTGCACAAACTGTTCCCCCTGGAGCCTTTCTGCACATTTAAGTCCTCATCATTCTTCACAGCTCCATCTCCAAAACGCCTACCCTTCTCCATAAGGACTTTAAACTCTTTGTACCTTGGGGCACCTGGGTGGCTCAGTCATTAAGCACCTGCCTTTGGCTCAAGTCATGATCCCAGGGTCCTGGGATTGAGTCCCCTGTCAGGCTCCCTGCTCTGTGGGAAGCCTGCTTCTCCCTCTCCCACTCCGCCTGCTTGTGTTCCTGCTCTTGCTATCTGTCTCTGTCAAATAAAATCTTTAAAAACAATAACAACAACAACAACAACAAAAATCAACTCTTTGTACCTTACACTGTGGTTATTGACACATATGCCTTAACCACTCCTATTTGAGTATATGCTCTTAGGGGCAGGGGCCATATCTTAACCCATTTATCTCCCAAAGGTCTTATATTACCTGTTGAACTATTATTAGCCAGGAAAATAAAGCTAAACCAAGGTTCATTTTCAGGCCAGAAGTTCCTCTTCTGTAGCTCAATATTTTACTGACTCAGGCAGGATGTGCTTCAAGCTTATCCTCTCTTGCCCCAGGTACTCACAACCCAGAATAGCATGGGAAAACAAAACAAATCATTGGGAAGGTCAATATTTCCTATGATTAAATTTCTTATCAGATAATGCCACTTTTTTCAGTAGAAGCAAATTCAGCTCCCATTCATGACCAGAAGACCCCATTTGAGCCTAAGTGGCACCCATCTGCCATCTGGATATTGAGCCTTCCTTCCCTAATAAGAAATAGACAAGGGAACTCCAGACACTAGAGACTAAGCTCATTCTGAGCTGGCAATCTAGTTTCAGATCAAAACCACTAAATCTGGACATACCACATTCTCAAGACCACAGGGGAAGGCTGTAGCTCAGGAAACAGGAGAGCACAGGGCTGCTGACCCAACCAGGAATGCGAGTGGTAGTGTTGTTACCTCACTGGCAGAATGTTCCTTTGCCTCGTCACAGAGAGGAGGTAGGCTTTGCCTAGGATCAAGACATTATGGGTTATATGGGGTTTTATTCAGGAGTTGACATTCTAGAATGTACAGGAGTAGAAAGAACCCTGGGCTCTGTTTTGCCTTAATTAGCTCTGTCTTAAGCAAGTTCTTTTTGCCTACTTAGCCTCAATGTTTGTATCTCTAAAAAGTAAAATCTGAAATGATTTTAATACCCAAATCAGCATCTATCCAATTAAAAAGGAATTATAAATCATTAACCTGAAATTAGAGAAAATAGAAATTACAAGGAAAAAATTAGGATAAGGGGCCCTAAAGTTACTCAAGTCAGGCCACAGATTTGGCTCTTTGCTTCCTGGCACCCAAAGCAAAAAGTGAAACATGATCAGTTATACATTTCCAATTGTCCACAAAGAAATATCATGCCCGTTCCTCAGGAGAGGCAAAGCTTTTTCTGGCACTTGTCCCTGAAAGATATTTCTCCTATTAACTACTTACAGGGGATACTAAGTGAAATTGCAGCTTAAGGCTGCAGCAAACATCAACCCTTAATGAGAAATGTAGTAGCGTTATAAAGCTGTTTCGGACTGTGTCCCTCCGAGAAAGCAAAGGGCAGGACACCAAAGTTTATCTCAGTGAAAATAATTCTGGAGGGGCTGAGGTAATATGGCCCCAATATGCAGCTTTCAGTCAGCCCAGCTTAATCCAAGGATAAAACTAAGAATGGCCAGAGGAACAGGTGGACAACATGTCCTTCCAAAAACTTCCACAACTTCTTCCACATGGGTGTTATCAAAAGTTGGGAGGCAATGTACGATTAGATGATTCCTAACTTCCACTCTAGTCCTGATAGATCTAAGTGACATGTTTGGTCTTCGTTTACTGGTGCTAATTTAAGATCTGGTGGTTTTCTCCCTCTCACCGCACACTCCCAAATCAATGGGTTGGGAATTCCTGCCAAAGAGAGGAGGGAAATCTAACTATTAGTATGAGTGTTATTATTAAAAGCTAACAGCAGGGAGCCTGGGTGGCTTAGCTGGTTAAGTGTGGGACTCTTGGTTTCAGCTTGGTCATGATCTCAGGGTCATGAGATCAAAACCCAAGTCAGGCTGAGCGCGTTGGCCGAAGTCGGCTTGAGATTCTCTCCCTCTGCCCCTTTCCCTCCAGCACTCACTCTTTCTCTCCATTTCTCTCTAAAATAAACAAATAAAAGCTAACAGCAAGTGCTTATGTGCCAGGCTCTGTGCCTGGTTTCCTATACAACCTCTCATTTTGTCTTCCCATCAATTCTGTGTGATAGTAACTATTATTAGTCCTATTTTACAACTAAAGAACAAAGATTTAGAGAATTTTAGCAAATTGCCCAAGGTCACAGAGCTAATTATCCCGATCTTTCTGGTTCCAAAGCCCAGGTTCTTAGTCCTACTTATAGTGTCTCCTTGTATTAATGAAATGTGATTACTGGTAGAAATGACTTGTTTGTCAGAAGAACAGTGAAAACAAAATCAAGCTACTGGGGGAGGCAAGGTTGTTTATTAAGAACAAAATGGCAACGGAACTTTTAGAGACCTATCAAAAGGTATAAAAGGGTGAAAAATATTGTGAAAAGCGGAAATCCTGAAATAAATTCCAAGGGAACACTATCACACCCCAGGAAAAGGGAGAGAAAAATTCTTTTCCTCTTCTCTTGAAAATAAAAGTATTATTTTCTACTCTTAGAGACGCAAAACCTTGGCTCTCTTTAGTCATTCATTCATTCCACCAATGGGTAGGTATTTATCCAGAGCTACTCACTCCAGGTACTGTCAGCTGGGAGCAAGACAGAAGCTCCAAAGCTTCCAATCTAGCCATCAAGTACAAAATCTATTTCCAGATGGTATTAAAGTGCCTTGAAAAAAAAAAAATAAAGTTAAGGGGATTAAGAGAAGCTGAGGGGCAGGGAAGGGAGGAGCTTCTAGATAACCGGTCTGAGAGGGGCTCGTTGAGATGCAAGTGAGAGAGCCAATCATGTAAAAATTTGGAGAATGGCATTCTGGAAAGAGTAACTACCACTAGAAAGACCCAATGACAAAAACAAACCTTCAACGTTTCGGGAACCTGAGGAAAGCTGGCCCACTTGGGACCGACTGAAGCAAAATGGCCCAGGTAAGGACCTGTGGGGAGATGAGGG